TGACTGACAATCAATTTCACATTCAGGCCATGTCAGTCATATATGACTGACAATCAACTTTTACACTCATTCAGACACTGAACGTGGCCTGACGAAGATTTCCGTAAGAATTCACGTGGCGCTCAACGTATTAAACAATTTTTAAATTTCATTATTTGTATGCAAAATATTGTCTCTGATAAGAAACAAAAAATAACATGTATATATATATATATATATAGATATAATATTTAACTTGAAACATTTTTTTTCTTAAACTTGATTGTAATGTTTGTTAAATTTGAAACAAATCAATGTATCATTGATTAAAAACAACACGCGAAATGTTGCTTTAATTGAATATCAAATTGAAAATAATATTAAATGAGATTTCTTCCACATTTGTTGTACCGTCATAAAATGATTTCTTTCTTTTTTTTTTTTCCCCCTATAATAGGAAAAATTGTTCTTGTAAAAAAAAAAAAAAAAAAGGAAAAAAAAATAATAGTGCAGATTATATTTTATGTCTTGCAAATTGTCGATGGATCTTCTTTTAATTAATAAAGATAAATAAATAATTCGACCACTACATTGCATCACAGATGATAAAATACGTGTCGTCGAAAAATATTCTTCTATTTTTTTCTTTTTTTGGCTGTATATGTTGTACAGATATTTAGATATTATATTACAAAATGTTTACTGTGTAATTATATTATTATGATTATTATTAAGATTATTATTATCATTATATATTACAATTATCATAATAATAATAATAATATTATTATATTTGTTAAATTAATGATATTTTCATGAATATAGCGCAAAAAAGGTTTTTAAACCTTGTTGTATTGTATATTGTACTTACATTTTTTGAAAATCCTTGTACTTGAATAACGTTAAAAAAATGATTTTTAATTCCATCCTGTCTTCGATTTTAATATTATTAATAATATAACAATTAACAATAACACTCGTCAGAGTGTTTATTATTAAATATTTCCCCCAGTCCTCCTCCTCCTCCTCCTCCCCCCCCCTCTCCCTCATACTTTCCCATAAAAATTATTATGATAAATATATATTATTAATATCTTTGACAAAAACATTTTAACACGTTGAGCGCCATGCCCATTTGTAAGGAAATCCTCGTCAGGCCACAGGCCTTACTTTGTATTGAAAAATGTAAACAGTGTCAGTCACAAATGACTGACATGGCTTAAATGGAAAGTTTATTGTCAGTCACCGATGACTGACGTGGCGCTCAACGTGTTAAATAAATATTTCTATCTTATGCATGCATCAGATTTTTTGTTTTATTTTATTTTAATTTTTTATATATACATATAATTAAGAATAATAATTTAAATGTCAGTATTTTGTTGATAACCCATTTAGTATATTATATATAATATATTATATATACAAATTTTGGTCATTAGTTTCATTAGTTTCGTTGGTTTATGTATATGCATGTAAATCTATACATATATGTGTGTATATATATATATTTTATAATACCTATGTGCTTTTTTTTTTTTTTATTAAATTCGTAAAAGTTAATTAATAAATTATCTAGACAAGTGTTTCTCACTTTGTTCATTGCATGGTTGCAAATCAATCAAACATTTTGTTATCATCAATCAAATGAAATATTAAACAAATTGTACAGAATGTTGAAATAAAATAAAAATTTTTATCAAAATAATGAAATCATTGAATTTTTTGGATGATCATTTAAATGTGATTCTGTAGATCATTAATTGAGAAACATTTATCTAGATAATGTTCATTTTATTCATATAATTTGATTTTAGAAACATGTTGTTTTTAAAATATAAGTTCCTTTTGATTTTACTGCTTACGGTAATATGATTGGACACTGTGCGTTTTATTAATTAATTAATTAATTATTTAATATATTAAATGTTGTATAATGAAGCAATTTAAATAAATATTTATAAATATACATATATGGGTGTGTGTGTGTGTTTGTGTGTGTTGATCAAGTTCATCAAGTTTCGATATGTTTGAGATTTTTATCATAAATGTACGTATCACTTGCATCACAGGAAGCAAAGAATCGGATTGGTCTAATAATGCATAATTATATATCTGTGTATTATCATTATCATCTTATCTGTGATTAATAATTAGATTATAAAGCTTCTCATCAACAGTTTGTTATAATTAAAAAAAAGTTATTTCATAATTATTCGTTCATTCGTCAAAGCTTATTTATATTAATTATATTTTGTTGATTAAATTTATATCACTATAATATTATCTTAATTATAACGATATGTATAGTCGATGGTTTTATTTTATTTTTATTTTGTATCTTAATAATTAAAGATTAAACATTTTTTTAATTTAATCAAAATTCAATTGAATTGTTTTGTCTTTTTTTTTTTTTTTGTATATTCAAATTTGAACATTAACAGCGTGCAAAATTTAATTAAATGTTAAAGATAGCAATGATAATATAAGAATATATTTTTTTAAATAATAAAACAATACTTATATTAATATTTTTTTTGTATCTTAATAATCAAAGATTAAACATTTTTTTAATTTAATAAAAATTCAATTGAATTGTTTTTTTCTTTTTTTTTTTTTGTATATTCAAATTTGAACATTAACAGCGTGCAAAATTTAATTAAATGTTAAAGATAGCAATGATAATATAAGAATATATTTTTTTTAAATAATAAAACAATACTTATATTAATTTTTTTTTTTAATCTTAATTATTAAAGATTAAACATTTTTTTAATTTAATAAAAATTCGATTGAATTGTTTTGTCTTTTTTTTTTTTTTTGTATATTCAAATTTGAACATTAACAGCGTGCAAAATTTAATTGAATATTAAAGATAGCAATGATAATATTTTTAATTAATTTATAATATAATAAATAATACAATAATATATAAATAAATAAAATAATAGAATAATATTTATAATTTAATTAATTTAAAAAAAAAACAATACTTATATTGATAAAAAACAAATAAAATAAAAGACATTAAACATTATTCAAGCTATAATGCATTTAATATTAAATAAAACTATTGAAATATATAAAATACCCATTAAAAATAATAAATATAAATTATTATTATTATTATAGTTGAATTAAAGCATTGAAAAAGAGCTTTCATTGTTTCAAATTATTCATTTGAATGAAACCATTCGCCAGAGCTTTCTGACAATTCCAATGGTCATGGTTTCTGTTCCGCGTTATGAAATATAAATGGATTACCATTTAATGCTACAACTGGGGTTGCAGGTGTTGGTAAATAAGAGGAACTTCTATGGTGTGCCATAACCAATTCCTTAGTGTTCTTCTCAGGTTTAATTAGTACAATATAAATCTTAGGAAAGAATAGACAAGCAAGTTGAACCAAACCACTAAGGGATAATGATAATGCCAAGGTTACAACCCTTATTGCGTTGCTGTTTGATACAAGATAAAGTGGTACAAATGCCAACCATAAAACCATTATGGTATAATTAGTAAATGCTATATGTTTCGTTTCATTAAAACCTTCTGGACATTTTCTCGTTTTTATGGCATAAATGGTGCATATTACTGTTGATAAAAAATTATATATTTTATATTTATGAAATAATTCAATGATTGTTTATTGTCTTACCTATAAGTACGAAAGGATAGATTAGGCTAATCATATAGGATGTATCATCGAGACCTTGACAAATTCTTAATCGAGTATCTCTCGTTGGATAAACGTGTGTCACCCATGGTGGTACAGTTACTAGCCACGTAATATTTACTATTATTTCAAGTATTATTAATATTCCTGTTATTAACAATTGTGATTTAGGACTGGTGTATCTATAAAATTAATTAGAAAATATAATAAAATAAACGTTTTGTAAAAAGATGCACTTTTTAACATGTTGAGCGCCACGTCAGCCATCGGTGACTGACGCTAAACTTTCAATTAAGGCCACGTCAGTCACCAGTGACTGACACATTCACATCTTTTCAATACAAAATAAGGCCTGTGGCCTGACGAGAATTTTTCTAAAGATTCACATTGTGTTAATTACAAATCTTACCTTGATTTACGTGGACTGTATGAAATATTATTAAATATTCTATGAATCCTATTAGTCTTGGTGACCAAAGCTGCATAACACAAAGTATAACAAAATCCAATACCAAATCTGGTAATAGCACAGGTTTCAGTTTTTGGTTCAGCCACTATGGCAAATGTCATTAAAAATGATGCTAGAATACTTAATAATAATAGGGAAGACAATTCACGACCTGATGCTTTGATAACAGGTGTTTTATCATAAATTCGAAATACAAACCATACGTAAATGGTTAATATTATACCTATAAATATAATATTAATTATTATTGAACATTGAAATTATTTAAGGATAAATAAAAGTTCTATTTTATTTATGAACTGACCAATAGTAGCAACAACCATAGCAACAATAGCCCAAGGATTATAATAATCGATATATTCTTCTGGAATTGGGTCACAATGTTTGGCATCTTCCGTTGGTCGTGTACCAGATGGACAATCCTCACATCTGTGCTCGTCCACCTTGTATTGATAAAGTCCACATTTACGACACTTCCAACAACAATAATCTTGTTTCTCAGGTACAATAACTTGATTTGATTGGCATGGTTTTGAACAAGTCGAATTTGGAAAGTTCATTCTACCACCTTCCGTTTGATTTCGATATTTCATTAATTCTGTTTCTATATACAATGATGGGGTTCTGTCATCGTCTTCTATAAACAAAAACAAAATTCATTTATTTATTTCTTTTCAAATGAACATAAAAATTGGTTGAGTATCATACCTGTGTAATTACCAATTACAACCCATCGATAAGCACCATCGTCATTTTTTTGATAATTTAAAATGGAATATCTTGGGGGACCATCTGTACCATCCATAAATCGAAATTTATTTCCTGCATCATCTAAAAATGTAATGACATTTTTGATTTAAATAAAATAAACACGTTGAGCGTCACGATCATTTTTAAGGAAGTCCCCGTCAGGCCACGCGTGTAGCTTAGATATATCCATGTCATACGTTGTCAGTCATTAATGACTGACGTGGCCTAAACTGAAGTCTAGTGTCAGTCACTAATGACTGACATGTTAAGATATGTAATATACCTTTAAAAGAAACGTTTTGAATGTAACGCGTTAAATCAATTCCATCGATGTGTTTCATTTCCAAACAAATTCCTGAATAATTTGTCCCACATTTTTCTTGTTGCATATCGTGAAGTGCATATGCAACGGAATAAATTGCATCTCTGACGAAATGTAAAAACTTTTGTTGTTTGTAACCAGTCGAACGATTAATCTTCAAATTAATGTCCCGACAAGACACGTATGAATCTTCATCTGTAATGTTGGTATGCTAAAAAAAATAAAAAAATCAATGTTAATATTTATTAAATTTATAATAATACTTTGATATTAATACCTGAGTTTGATTATTATCACAACGATGATATTCTCGCCAAAATTCACCAAACCATGGATTAATTGTTTCATGTTCTAATGTCAAACTTGTGAAATATTTATCAAAACCAGACAATTGTCTGGATAATGGTTGAACAACTAATGCACCTTCCAATACTGCCATTTCTTGATCCATACGACTCGAGTCAAGGTCAGCAAAATCACGATGATTCGAACTAGACCATGAATCACTTCCTATCCATACGAATCTGGTACCAACACCTAATCTTTTTGCAGCTTCCAATACGCACAAGGTCGTTGATTTTTCAGCAAAAAGTACAACCACTGTTGAATCAACATTCAAAATACAACCAATGTTAACACTATGACGTTTGGTGATTTCACATTGGTGCCATGCAAAAACTATAGGTATAAAAATTTGTTTACGTACCTCTGACGTCAGTTTTACTTGTAATCGTACGAATAACATCGTCATAATCATCCACTTTAAAATGTTCCTTGTCAATTCTCTGTGGTGCACTAAAGCAAATGTTATAATAACTAGCTAGGGAAATTAGTGTTTCGTAACCATGATTACCATATTCTGTATCCGAATAAACCACTGAAACGTATGTCCACTCGAATTTCCTTTAATTAAAGTAATATTAGCTTTTTTTTAGATATGCTTATAAAATTAAGTAACAAAATTAATGATATTATTAATCCCTTGACATATAATGACGTGTCAGACTCGTCATTCATTTCATAAGCCACTGTTAGACGAGTCAGACTCGTCATTCATTTCATGAGCCACTGTAGACTTTAACGAGTCAAACTCGTCATTCATTTCATAGGCCACTGTTAGACGAGTCAAACTCGTCATTCATTTCATAGGCCACTGTTAGACGAGTCAGACTCGTCATTCATTTCATGAGCCACTGTAGACTTTGACGAGTCAGACTCGTCATTCATTTCATAGGCCACTGTTAGACGAGTCAGACTCGTATTTTTTATTAATTTTTTAATAATATTTTTACTAATATTATTTTTATATCTTTTTTTATTAATTTACTAATTTATTAATTATTTAAAATACTATTTAATTAAATAGTATTTTTTGGTTGCATCAAGTTCCATTTAATTTGTATTTGTCAAGGGGTTAATAATCTTCTCTAGTTTTGGTTAAATTGTTTTTTGGTTTTTTTTTTTTTTTTAAACTTACTTAAGAATTTCTAACATAGCACGAGCTTGATTTAGGTCACTTGGTATGGTACGGAAAAAGTGTGGAAACATTTTTTTATTACTCAGTGTTGGTGACGTTGCCATATACGATACTTGTGGTACTGAAAACAATTTCAACATTGAAGCCACCTAAAAAAAATTATATATATATATATATATATTTAATAACAATAATATTTTTTAATATTTTTATTCTTTTATTTTCCATGTATTATTTTTCTTTTATTTTAATTCTTATTTGTTTTATCACATTTCATTAATTATTTATTTTTTCTTTTTGTGTTCATGTGTAATATAAATAATTTATAAAACACACACGCACACACACACACACAGAGACAATTTATGTAACTTTATAATTTTGATAAATGTTCAAAGTAACTTTCTTCTTCTATTTCTTGTTTAAATATTCAAAGTTTGTATAAATTATTCGTCTTTGAAATTCGATTAGAGTAAAATCGAGGAGTATTTGGTTCCTAAATAAATTTCATTTAGGGAAAGAGTAACCTCTGGTCTTTCGTTTAACAAAGTTGATCCCTTACGAAAGGACAAAGTTCAAAGGATGAGATAGCTAGGGGTAGGGTAGGTAGGTAGGTAGGTAGGTAGAATGTTAAAGTTACCTGTATGGTGACCGAACTCGACTGGTCTGCCAACACTGCAACAATTTTGTCGAATCCACCTTTCGAAAACTTTGGTACGCTTTTATCTCTGCACTCGTATTCCTTAACGTGAAATTCATTCGAATGAGCGATGAAACCTAATAAATAACAATATAATAATAATAATAATAATAATAATAAAAATTCAGATAAAATAATCTAAGATAAGATAAGATTCTATTTTTTTTACAAACAAAAACAAACAAAAGGAACCTCACGAAGATTTCTGATTGAAATTTGTTAAAAATCCTATTTCTTTACAAACTAACAAACAAAAAATGAAAAATGAAATAGAAAAACTTAAAGGATGAAATAATTTAAAAAAAATAGAAAAAACCTTGAACCTTAAAGCTTTAATTTCTAATTGAAATTTGTTTGACTGGACTATAAATTCCAAGACAATGGAATTAATTTACCTTTGACGAAATTCAATGCTTGCTCGAGTGCATAATTTGGATTGTCGCAACTATCAAATGCAACGGCACCAAGACGTACACCCGGTAGAATGTTAGGATCCTGATTGATTTGTTGAAGCGTGTAAAGCATTGCTTCCAATGGTTGAATTCCATCTTCCAACTGGATCAAACGAATTCAATGGAAATATCGAATTATTTAATTAACTTTCCATTTTCCTGATTATATTTTTTCTTCTTTTTTTTATTTTTGGGTTTTCTTTTGATCATCAAATACTAACCCTAATTTTGCCGCAATTTTCACCTGAGATACCTTTACCGTGAATTGGAAATAGGGCACCTAATAGAATATCACCTGACACGTTTAAATACGTACGAGCGTTGACGAAGGTAAAACAGGATACCATTAACAGGTAATTCACTAAAGGGCCCGTCATTATCTGAAACAAATCATTATATTTCTTTTTTTGGAAGTGAAAACTTCATTAGAATGGGTGTAATTTGAAAAAATGAAACGCGGTGATGTATTGGGGAAAAGAAACGGCCTTAACACTACGTAAAAAGAGAAAAATAGACAAACATATCATTATTTATAAATCATCATTATTTATAAAAAATAAAATGTTTTATTATTTAATTTCTTTATAATTATTGTAAAAATGCGCGCCTGTATGAATGCAACCCTCCAGACACACGTTGAAAATGTTGCTTGCGAGCGTCATCTGTTGGGACTGAATTTTTTTGTATCTGCCCGAAAGATAGGCAACCCGTCATACATACGTGTATAAACAGTTTTGACTTGAAAAAAATGTCCGTCCCAGTAGATGGCACTCGCTAGCAACATTTTCAAAGTGTGTCTGGAGGGTTGCATACGAACAGGCGCCGTATTTTTATTATATATTATAATAAATTATTCTCGAAACTTGTTTATTTGAACAAACGTTTCATTTCTAACTCTTGTGTGATATGCAAACATTTTTATTTTCTTTTTTTTTTAAGCAAACGTTCTGATGTTGTCTTCGCAATCAATCGTCATACAATTTTTGTTTTTTTTGCTTTATTTTTTACGATAAAAACAAATGATGAAACAGATGGATCTGTGATAAAATTAAATTCAATGATTTTATTATTATTTAATTTTCATTTCTTTTCAATATATTTTAATGATAAGTAAAATAATTTCCTTTCTTCTTCTTCTCTCTCTCTCTCTCTCTCTCTCTCTCTCTCTCTCTCTTCGTGTGTTAAAGAAACACACCATATAACTTTGACGTAACTAGATCAACTTGCTAATTAAGGAACTCGAGTGGGTTGTGGGTGGGTCTCTTGAACCTGATGTTTCCTCCTCAACGAGGTTACTAACGTTTCTTGTTAGTTTTGTATCATCATAGTTGAACCTCTATCTTAAATATATGATGATTTTGATGATATTTTTTTGTTAAGTTAACGTAAGGTGAAGAACCATCCCTTCATCCCTTCATCCTCTCCACTCATATAATTCTTAAATTGAATCAGATAAGAGATAGATAGGACACATTCGAAGATTCTTGCGAGTTGTTCTCGATAGAAGAAGCTTTTCGATACCCTTAAGGGAAGACCCTTAACTTGAAGACCTCATCTTCAACTCTCAACTCGACTTTCTTAGATGATGCTCCTCTCCACAAAACAAAGGGTATTACGAGAACGTTAAGAGACATACATTTTAAAGAGGTTTCTCAAGTTATTTGCAAAACGTGAATGCCATTCGTTCGCATAATCGTTAAAACGGAAGTTTCTTATAAGCCAAGAAATTTTCTACAATTTTCTTATTTCCCCCCACTTTTTTCATGTTCCATCAATTTTGACATCAAAGTTTGCCCCTCTTTCTCGTCCTGTTAAATTAAAACCATTATTTATTTGATAGATCACACAAACAAATGATTGGTCAATGTGAACTCGTATTTCATAGAAGTTTATAAAATCACACGTTTATTCGTTCGTAGATATACAATATTTGTTTGACAAACGTGTATTTGTTAAATGTTTGTATTTTTTTTTTACCAATCCCTCTCTCATCCCCACTTCCTCACCTCACCACAATGAGAAACAGTTCGTTAGCGTTTGTTGCAAAAAAGGGTATCACGCAAAACGATGATGTAAATGAATCGTACCCAGGTGGGTTGGCTGGTTGGTTGGTTGGTTGGTTGGTTGGTTGCGTTTTTTTCCACTATGTTACACATACACGTATATAATATAT